AAAAACAAAAATTATCTTAATATTAGAGACAATAATATTTAACCTATCAGGACGGATTTATATATACCTGTCGTAGTATATGTAAAGTTGAAACCATTTAATAGTATTGGGTGCAGCCTGGGCGACTTCTTCCATAGAGCAAGTGGACAGAGTACTCAGGGTAAAAATTGTACCATATTCACCAGCAGCTGGAAATTAAAAACAGATACTTATTTGGTACAAAATCGAATAATAGACAAATATTAAAGTAAAATTTGACAAGCATCATTTAGAAATTCATGATATAAATATTTTTAATTTTATATATTTAAAAATATACAAAACGAAGACTTTAATGTAAACTAAACCAATTTATCAAATTTAATGCAAACTAAACATTTTTATGTAATATTCATGAAACCTTTTTGAAAATTAAAAAAAAGTGTAAATAAATCTAATGTACCGAGTATTAAAAATACATATTATCAATATATTTGCTATTTATCCTTATATAGTTGTTATTTTTCAAACCTCTAGCGTTTGCACATTCTCCATCAGCATGGGCCATTTTTTGCATGGCTGTCGGGGATATTCCAAAAGGTATTTTAACACGATCGCCGAAAATTTCCACAGACATATCACGATTTGACACTGGAACTAAAAACCTTGGACGAATACGCAACCTAAAATAATAATATTACTATCATCATTGTAAACAATTATAGGTAGCAATAAAAATAAATTAAAGTAAAGATTTAGGTAACAGATATAAAATATAATTTATATCAGTTCAGAAGATTAACTACCAAGATTTATCCTTTTTCTATATGATTTTTTATTATTTATTAGATAACTAGGACGAGGATTTATTAGAGACTTATATACGGATTTTTGCTACACTAAAAAATTAAATATTGACATACTTATTAGCTCCTAATAACACAGGCCTACAAAAATTTTTTTTTGTTTGGTGCATTAAATGTTAGAGCTGATTCTTAAAGTATTTTTTGCGCTGATTTCAAATCTGCAAACCATTTTTTGTATCAGCTCTAGTTTGGAACTTGGAAAGAAGTTGCCGAAACCAGGTCCATTCTAGGTGGTCATGGAAAAGAACTTTTCACAGTGTCAACTAATGTCCCAACTAAGGCCGAATGGGTCTTGTAAGTTTGTATGTACGAGTAGGCATTCTCATTAAAATAAAATTCTGAATTGTATTACTATTTTGTACTTTTATTCCTTATATATCATATCTTGAAAACTAAAGCTCATAGAAAAAAAACAATGTCATTTTTGAAATCAGCGCCCCAAATATACTTAAAAACAGCATTAAAATCGTTTGCACCATTTTCTTTGTTGGCCTGTGAAATATATAGATATCAACAATATATATGAACAATGATTTCTATTAATAAAAATATTGCAAGGTATGGTAAGTAAAAAAAATCCAATTCATTCAAAATACGAAATAAAGAAGAGTATACTAATAGAACAAACATCTAGAAGCAAAAAAAAAATTGTGAAGACGTTAAGTTTTGTATATATAAGTGAAATAGAAATCAGGTATTTAAATTTAATTTAATAAACTAAATGTTAAAACCAGAAAAAAATACTTTTTAAAAATATAACCGAAAACATTAACTTCTTGCGCCTAACATTCTCACAACAACATTCACATACAACTTTTATTTAGAAATAAGAATTAATAGTATTTATTGTAATAAAATAATTACTGAAATAATTTTGCAATAAACTTTGAATTTTATGAAGATGTGTAAGCAAGCTAAATAATTTTTAAAAATGTACATTCCAAATATTAATCGAACAGACAAATCAAAATAATCCAAATAAATAACCTATTATATGTAACACTTCTAGAATTTAAGTAATATATTCTCTCAATAAATCTTTAATTTGTATTTTAAGGTATTTGGATTTCTAAGTGCATTATATTAAATTAAATTATTAAAAATTAAATTTATTTAAAAAAACATATGTACCTTCTAAAAGCTTCCTTGTTCAAACTCAACGTATGTTCATCCCCAGCTCCACTCTTATAATAATCTCTTGCATTTTGGGGTAAAATTTCATACGCCCTTGCTTCATATTCATTCACAGTCACTAACGTCGACGACATATTCAACAATATCACTTTTAAACCCGAAAAATTAACAATAAATCAACACATTTGACAATTTTATTAATATTAAATCTACTATCTATAGGTAACACTTTCAATTACTAGTTTGCTTGTAATGATGGATTCCGCGTGTACGTTGCTTCTAAATGACCTTGTTTATATTTGATCTCATAATGTATGATTTGACACGAGTGATGTACTTATCATATTAACAACACTTTGTTCTCGTCATCGTGTTTAAATATCTGTAAATAAGATACAATTAAATTTTAATTTGATTGCAGTGTATGAATTTGATAGAAATTTAGGAATTTGAATGAATAATTCTATGTAAATGACATAATTGTTGCAGTTTTCCAATAGTAAAAGGGACCTAACGAAGAATTGGTAATAATAATGGTATTGATTGGTAATAATAATGGTAAATAAATAATGAAGATAATGCAAAAGATTTTTTTCTAATCATTGCAATGAATAATTTATTTGTTTGAAACATAAGTGTTCAATTTTTAGGCCATAGTTCAATACTGAATGCACTGTGTGTATATAGTTTGCTAAGTACAATAAAAAAAAGTTTGAAATGAAAGTTTGAATAGTTTGAATAGTTGAATAGAGAAATGCTTTTGCTCAAGTATGCTTGATATGAAGAAAATTGAATTTTAAACTGAAGAAAAAATTAATTAGCAACCTATTGGTGCTAACTAATTATTTAAAGTTAATTTTATTCGTGACCTTTATAAATACCATGTATTTCCCAAGTTCGATTATACTGAAGAAACAAATCTTGGTCGCCCACAAAAAACTTCGATTACGCCCTCATTTAAAAATTATGGATAATACGTGTAAATATAAAATTAGAGGTGTAAATCAGATGTAAAACATATTTTTTATTTGTAATAAACCATATAAAACAGTTCTCTCATGAATTTTCCAAATTTTCCATGATTTTGAAAACAAATATTGTCCGGTCCATCAAAAAACAAGATTCAAATATTGCGCCACGATCTTTTACCTCACGATACATTTCTACTGGGGTAAATACAGGTAAGATAGAAAATTATTTGTCAATTCATAGGATTAAAAAAAAATAAGATGAACAAATGCAAGATGCACTATAAAATGATATAAAAGAAATACATTTCAAATTATAATATAAATTATAAACGCCCAAATTAATATAATTATAAAAAGTTCCTTAAATCAACCGTATCTTATTTTTACATGTATTAATTTATTATATTATTAGAAAAAAAATTAGTAATTAGTTGTATATGTGTAAGAAGATTTTTTTGAACTTGAGTGTTAATTTTCTTCAAAATTTATTTAATTAAGTATGTGTAATTATTTTGAGGTTTGGCTTATATAAAATTTTACCTCCATCTTCGGAAAAAAGTATTTTGGTAAAAAAACGAGATCCTAAAGATCTGAAAATAAAATTAAAAATATTATTAAATGTGTTCAATAAAATGTTGTTTATATAAAGAAATTATCAAAAGATATTTTTTACGTTTATAAATAATAATAACAATAACTCACCTGACTCCATATTTTCCAGTAAACCAAACTTGCCTCTTTCACTTCAAGATGTTTTATAGAGACAGTTTAATTTTCCATTGATGGCAATTACGTTTCTAATATCAGTCATACAATGGCTTGTTATCAAAATCTACATATTTATAAATTCTGCTCATTGTTCATGCAGTTAACAATATAATAAGATTACATAATATTTTTCAATCATTTGGTGCACGATACAACGATCATTGGACATGGAAATGTTATTTAATTGATCTGGCATGAAATTTTGAAGGACGCTAAAAAAAATTGTTTGATACAAAAAACATTCGCAAAAAAATAATTATATATATGATAAAAACTCAGTACTAAACCTTATATTGAAAAATTGACGCAATGAACTGAATTATTTCTAATCTTTATGGTTATTTAAAAACCCGTAACAATTTGCATAAATCAAAACAAATTGATATAATATTCATTACTGTAATTGATTAATATTCAAACTGTAACTTTTGAGTAAACCTTATTAAGTTATTAAATTTCTTAATCGATTAATTATCATTCACAATTTCTAGAGTAAGTATTTTCAAGCACATCATACACTCTCAGGTGAAAATAATTACGTTATTTTAAAAATAATATAACAAAAACATATCGGAGTAAGTATTTCAAAATTTAAAAATTAGAGTCTTTACAATGAAATTAATTGCCAGAAGTGTGAATTATATAAGCCCGCATAATCGATTTTATTTTATCAACGAATTATTTTAAGTGATTCTAACTCATGACAAAAGAAAATAAATAAAATGACATATTATTTATTTAAAATATTATAAAAAAAATAATATTTGGAAAAATTAATATTGATTTTTAATAAAGAAGAAAAAATTATGTTTCGAGCGTTTTATTGTCATAGTATACATATATGCAAACTTCTAAGAAAATTCAAGTATATCTATAAACATTGCATTTCTTATAAATTTCCAAAAACTTTATTCGTTTTTTTATGATTATGTTATTTAAAATTATTATGTTTCAAGTAATACATTAATAAATAATATATAACAGATCATGACCTCTAAAACAGCATTGTGTTTATATTGCCACTAAAAACTAGGCATGTATTTTTGGTTCACTGCATTTACACGAGACAGCGTTTGAAAACTTAAAAAAAAGAATTAAATTTATTTATCATATTTATATTTAGATATATATAAGACTACAGAATTCAGAATAGAAGAATATAAGAATATAAGACTACAGAACGTTATGAAATTTAATGCTTCATGTATAAAGAATGTAAATTTAACTTGTTTGTTACTTGTTTTATACTTAAGGGGGCGTCCATTAATCACGTGAGCGAATTTTTAAGGATTTTTGGAGCCCCCTGCCCCTTGGTGATACATAGTGATATTCAAAATTACCCCCCTACCCCCAAGCATCACGTGTATTTTTAGTTACGTGATAAAATTGTGAAAATAAAAAAAAAATTAAACTGTTTGATTTAAAAAAAAAATCATTTAAAAAATAAATACACGTGATATCTTACTATACGGGACAAAAAGCGCCAAAAACGGTAACTCGGTTTTTAAGAGAACGGAGCGTCCGATTTGAACATTTTATTTGTATTAACAAGATGAAGAACTGAACTGAATTTTCATGAAGGTAAGTCTAGCGGTTTCGGAGATCTGGTAAAAAAAGTAAAAAAAAAATGCCATTTGGCGGTCAAAAATGATCATTAGACATATGCACATCAAATTATCAGATATTTTATAGAGATTTTAACAATAAGTATAAATTTTGTTTACATTCCCATGGGGGTATGGAACCCATACACCCTATGGGTTCCATAGCAGTGTTTATCCGTTAGACGGCGACGCGGCGCTTACGCGCTTCGATAATTCGTCTCTATGCAGTTAAAGCAGTACGATTGCTTTGAAAAAAAGTTCAGAATTTCCAAAATGTTTCAAAATAATTTTTTTTTTCAAAAAAAAAGTAAATCTTTGTCAAAAATTTATAGTTTCTCAAAAATCTAATTTTTTCAGAGTTATTTTTTTTTCAAAAATGTTAATCTTTTTAAAAAAATAATTTTTGGTACAGGAAGTTCCAGCAATTTGCCTTAAGGCACGATGCCCTGCGCCCCAATAGTTTTTCATGTTATTGATTATCATTTCTATTTAAAACAGTACTTTTTCTACATACATCGAGCTTTACCTTTACCATTATGTAGGTTTTCCACCCCTGATATCGGAACCACCATCCATAGAGTTTGAAGCATTTGCCTTTATTAAAGTTCACGGTCCGTAAACAATATGAATCATCTTTATATAACTCTGCTGAAATGGGAGCCGCTATTATTAGTTTGGTGTGTTCATCAAGTTCAGTCGGGTTTTGCGAACCGCGCTAGTGAATTGTGTTCCCATAGTTTATCTAGCTGGAGATCGATTCTGCAATAAAGGTAAATAACATTGTTTATATTAACAATTTGATAATATAATTCTTGTATTAGACGTAATAAACCGACGCAAACTCTGACGTAATAAGGCGACAAATTTTATGCTGCTTAAGTAAAAAAAAAATGGTTTAAAGTTATCGTTTGTTTGAAAGTTCTAACAAAAACATTACATATTTATTTATGCTATTAAGTACATTGTAGTTCAAATAGTTTAACTTAACCCTATTGCATATTTAATTTTTTCAATATCTCATGGGATTATTGCAATTATATAAAAAATAAACATATGTAAAGATAAATGCAAAGTTCGAGATATTAGGGTTATATTAATTTATAGCATTTATTATATTTATAGAAAGTTTTAAATAAAAAATATAAATGGTAGAACATGTAAAATAAGTCCATAATTGTAATTTTTTTTTTTGTCAATCAAAACTTTATTCGAATATAATTGTAATGTAAGTAAGTAATTGTAATGTGATAAGTCATGATATGTGTAATTGGTGTAAATGCACAAATCTAACAACATATAAGTTGTATACTCAATTTTCCCATATTTTTTGCACTTTTCGAGGAATGAGGTTTGAATGTATTTTACATGAAATCGATTTGATAAGCCTTATATAGCAAAAAAGTAAATTGATAAAACCTGCAACTTTTTATATTAAACAAAACTGTGTAAATATCTTGGTATAGTTCTGTTTAATATAAAATTTTGCATGTTCTATCAATTTACCTTTTCAGAAGTTAAGTAATGCCAAATTATATATATATATATATATATATATATATATATATATATGTAAATACATAAAGGAACTACAGGAGTCTATTAAAACATAGGGTCAATAATCGCAATAGAATGTGCACTGCAATTCAATCAACATATTTTATTTGTAAATAATTCAACAAGATCTATAATAACAAACGATTCTAGTATTTTCTTCTTCTGATATTCAGAATAAAAAAATAACTTAATATAGGAATGTAAAAATATGCTTGTAACATCCACTTAAATTTAAAGTACTTTACACACTTTTCATTTACTGCAAGTAATTGGCTATTGTAAAGTTTTTTCTAAACCGTTTTATTAACTTTACGAAGGAGAAGTTTATGTTTTCATAAAAAAATCCGACTCGCTAATTTTATGTTTTCTCGACGTTTCAAGCCTTTCTGAATCGAATGAGACCAAATTTGGAAAAAGTATGGGTATGTCTGTGTGTGTGTGTGTGTGTGAACAGATTTTTTGCCGTAAATCGACGTTTTCTCCAAAACGGATCGACCGATTTCTGCAATAAAATTAGTATCGTTTTTTTGCATTTGTCAAAATTAGACCTTTCATCGACGTTTTCTCAAAAACGCCTGAACCGATTTCAGAAATTTAAAAGCCATTTGATGTATATCTCAATGAGGACTATCGTTTGTCAGTTTTGTGAGACGGTCTGCCGAGCCGTTTCTTTGTAATTTAAAAAAAAGTGTTAAACTTTTCGTCCACATTTAACCCCAAACTACCGAACCGATTTTAAAAAATCAAAAACTGTTCGAAAGATATTAATTGGGAATGATACTGATGAGTTTTAGGTAAATTTCTACCGAGCCGTTTTCTTGTAATTAACTGTTGAAAAAAAATTGAAGTCGATTTTTATCGAACTTTTTTTGGCGATATATATCATGGTCTTATAGAACTTACTGAAATATTGCGGCCTTACGACAAGTAATTTAATTTTAAAAATTCACCAAAGTTTGAGAAAATGAGTAGTTTTTTTTGACGTTTGTTAAAATTTACATCAGACAATTTACTTGGTATAACGATAGAGTACCAGGTCTTAATGAACACACTAAACCATTAAAATCCTATGAAAACTGGTTCAATTATAAAAATTATTGATTTTTGAAAATTTGCTTTTAGAAAATACTCCAAGTTAACGAGTTTGTTCGTTTTCAATTAAGTGTTATAAATCCACTCGGAATACTTTAAACACTCATAAATTAATTTATTTTTTACTGATTAAGTCGATTATTTACACATATCGGGAAGTTCATGTAACTTGCCTCAAGGCTAAATACCAATACCAACTAGTTATATTATTAAAATCATATACAACTATACGATCTTCTTACGTTCTACTGTATTAAATTCAAAAGAACTATTTAAAAAATAACAACACGAGATTATAATTTACATTACTAATGAGCAAAACATGTTCGAGTTCTATGACATCAGTTGTAAACTACATTCTAGTCTTCTGTATTCATATGTAGAAATGCAATTTAAAATTTCGATAAAGATAAATAATTCTTAATTAGATTGTTCATAGATAAATTTTTAGAGCATGATGTTTGTGAATTTTATCAACGATGAAGTATAGAAGTCCGTTTTGAACAACGGTTGATATCATGTTAGGCTAATTATCCCGAATAATCATTTTTATTCATAGTTTAAGTTTGCTAAAACTTGTTTATTCCTGACTGTATTTATTAATTAGCCAAAGTAGCCAAAAATGCTATTGAAATTTTTGGCGTAGTAAAACGAACAGATACGCGGAAATTGGAATTAAATTAATTCGCGCAGGATTTACATGTTAATTAGTCTCTAAATATAATTAATGTGAATAGCTTAAGCTTAACTATTTTGTAGAACATTTAAAATGGAACGTTGGCATGGTAAAGTAGCTGTAGTAACAGGAGCAAGTTCTGGGATAGGAGCAGCAATCGTGAAGGATCTTGTCGAAGCAGGAATGAAAGTTGTAGGACTAGCCAGACGTAAAGATCGAATGGAGGTAATATATATTCATTCATTAATTATTTTATATTGAAAATTATAACATTTTAAATAAATGAGCAGGAAAATGCAACAAAAATGGATAAATCTAAAGGAGGAGAATTTTATCCAATAAAATGCGATGTTGTTAATGAGAGCGAAATTTTAGAAGCTTTTTCATGGGTAAAAGCAAACTTGGGAGGTGTTGATGTCCTTGTAAACAATGCTGGGATTGTGAGGTAAATACAAAAAACGTGCAAAATCTCAATGAATGATTGTGGTAGTGCTGGTATATAATAAATATATAATATTTCAGGGGCACCATGTTGACCAGTCCAGGAAATACAGAGGACTTACGTCGGGTACTTGATGTTAACGTTATGGCTTTAAGTATATGTACTAGAGAAGCATTTAATTCAATGAAAGATCGCAATGTCGCTGGACATATAATTCATATAAATAGGTAACTGTTAATTTAGATTATTAGTAACTGTTATTTAGAATTTTAGTCTTTCAAAATCTAGTAATCATAAAAGCGAATATTTTCAGTCTTGCTGGACACAAAATACCATATATAGAACCGCCTACAATGAATATATATGCTGGATCTAAGCATTGCGTAACGGCATTAACAGAAGTATTTCGCCAAGAAATGGTTTATTTAAATAACAGAACAAAAATAACTGTAAGAAAAGTATTTATAATTACCATTTATTAGTTCTTGAACCAACTATCTATTAATTTCAGAGCATCAGTCCAGGTGTTGTAGACACGGAAATATTTGAAACGTTCATTCCTCCAGAAATTTTACAAGAGTTCAAATCAGGAAATCCTAGTTTGAAATCTGAAGACATCTCACAGGCTGTATTGTATGTACTTGGAACGCCGGAACACGTCCAGGTTGAAGTTCGATAAATACTCATTTTTTTTAAAAATATTCCATTAAGCCTGGGTATAAACTCATACTTAATATTCAGAAATATAACTTTGCATAAATTTATTTTTCAATAATACCAAATTACGTCGTGATGGACAAACAATTTTTTATCTTTTAGGTACACGAGCTTACCATCAAACCAGTTGGTGAACAATTCTAAAAGAAGCGGCAAGGTTTCGTAATTGAAATCAATTCCCAGAAGAACTTTTTGATACAAAAATACTTAAAAATGAATTCTTACTTAAGAAAATAATGTTGAAATTATATTAAAATTGTATACCTAATTCAAAGTAAACAATAAGTAGTCAGTGGCAGCGTTAGATTATCGTAGGCGTTCTAGTCAGGAAAACGATAAAACACATAGGCCAGACTATAATTAAACTAATAATACAAGTTCTAAGTAATTAAAAACTTTGGACTGACGCCGCTATTGTACGATTGCTAATTATTAATCATATTTTTATAATATAAAATATTTCTGATTAAAAACAAATATTTTTTGAAAATTGTCTCAATGGATTTTTTCATTTTCATTTCCAAATCACCATGGCAGCTTGTGCAAAGAAGGAATTGCTGTATTAGAGATAAAGCAACAACAATTTTCGATCACTGATATAAAAACTGAAATTGTTTGAAGATATTGTGTTAATCACGTAAACGTTAAAAGGTTTCAAGCATTAAGTTTCAATTTGAAATTACTTAACTAAAACTTTAAATCATTAACAACTAATATTCCTGCACTTTAGATCCTTCTCGTGACACCTACTTTAATTAGTGCCCCACAGACGACTCAAGTGTAAAAATATATATTTGTAACAAAAACGTTATTTACTCAACCATATATATTGCAAAAAATATTAAAACTCACTGTTTTTTTTTAAATGTAGAGTGCAAAACTTTTGAAGTAAATACAACAAATTAACTATATGATTTATCCGCAAAATATACACTTTTTACAAATTTGTCTAAAGAAGTTTTACTTCAAAAATTATAGATTGTATCATTTATGGCATGTGGGGTATCATTTAAAAAGACTCGTTGAGTTGAAAATGATTTTCACAATGATTGTAATAAAAACGTTATATGCATAACCACATTTCATTGCAAAAATTATAAGGACTCTACTGGCGAACAAACTAAGTTTCCACATTACGAGAAAAAGATTTTACTATCTTTCATGTCAAAATTCAGTTTGCTCCTTAGTAAGTCCTTTTTATAAATTCCATGGCTAGGATTAAGTTTGCTCGTCAGTAGAGTCCCTTTTATAAATTCCATGGCTAGGATTCAGTTTGCTCGTCAGTAAAGTCCTTTCATATATTTCATGCCCAGGATTCATTTTGCTCGTCAGTAGGGTCCTTTCATATATTTCATGTCCAGGATTTCCGTCAGTAGAGTCCTTTTATATATTTCATGTCCAGGATTCAGTTTGCTCGTCAGTAGAGTCCTTTAATATATTTCATGTCCGGGAATCGGTTTGCTTGTCAGTATAGTCCTTTTATATATTTCATGTCCAGGATTCAGTTTGCTCGTCAGTAGAGTCCTTTTTTATATTTCATGTCCAGGATTCAGTTTGCTCGTCAGTAGAGTCCTTTTTATGAATTTCATATCCAGGATTCAGTTTGCTCGTCAGTAGAGTCCTTTTATATATTTCATGTCCAGGATTCAGTTTGCTCGTCAGTAAAATCCTTTTATATATTTCATGTCCAGGATTCAGTTTGCTCGTCAGAAAAGTCCTTTTATATATTTCATGTCCAGGATTTAGTTTGCTGGTCAGTAAGTCCTTTTATATATTTCATGTCGAGGATTCAGTTTGCTCGTCAGTAGAGTCCTTTTTATAAATTTCATATCCAGGATTCAATTTGCTCGTCAGTAGAGCCCTTTATGTCCAGGAATCAGTTTGCTCGTCAGTAGAGTCGTTTTATATATTTCATGTCCAGGAATCAGTTTGCTCGTCAAATATTCGACTTTATTCGACAAAGGACCTCGGCATACGGTTTGAGAAATTTCCGCATTATTGAACTGTATATGTATACAACTGTATGAATGCGCAACCAGGCGTATTTTCATACATTTCACTTCACTGTTCGTTTCACTATTCACTTCACTTCACTGCTAATTCACTATTCACTTCACTGTTAACTGTTCGGAATCTGATTCACTAAAGGTGCGTCCACACCTAGCGAACGAACACGAACGAACATGTCGAACAAGAAAATACAAAGAAGAACGAACAGGAACACGAACGAACGCGAAAAATTCCAAACGAACTTAAACGAGCGCTTAAGAGCAGTGAGCGCTTGAATTTTCGTTGTTCGTAGATGTTCCGTGAAACGTCAGTTTTATTATTGATATGGATGTAAGCTTTAATCATACGGCATTTTCACTGGTTTTTGTGTGATTTCTGTTCGTGTATATTTTGTAAATATACTGTAAATAAATTATTCAATTAATTTCACTCAGTTTTTGTATTTATATTTATATTTTGAGTCGTTTTCTTTCCTCAGCATTCATATTCGGAGCAAGCTGAACATTCCAGGTTGAGCCTAACTATACTCAATTTTCAAACTCTCATCCTCAACATATATGTTGAATGTCTATGTATGATAACAAGTTTAATATTTACTTGTAAAGACTGCAATTTCTCTTTACTGCAGCTTCTGACATCCCAAACGTTCTGCCTACACTTCCCAAGAATCGTTTTTTTTTTCTAATAATTTTATAAAAAAGGGTCTTTAGTCTCCCATATTATAGGAAAAAAATTATTATTAAATTATTAAAACAAAATGTTCGTTTGCGTTCGTTGAGACGTCCACACTGCAATACGAGTACCAACACGAACGAACAATTCCCTTTGATGTACCGACAAGTTGCGGAACATTGCTCGCCATGTTTGTTTATGTTCGTTTCGTGATCGTCGTGGCGTCCACACTATGCTGTTGCCGTTCGTTCTGGCACGTTCGTTTATGTTCGTTCGTGTTCGTTCGTTAGGTGTGGACGCACCAATGAGCAGCGTTGATATCAGCGCCCCCTTTTATAGCGGCGGATCAAAATAACGGATGCTAATGCTGTCAAAAAAACGGTAACGGAAAACACTTCCGGCTTAAAATTTCGATTTAAGTCAAACTATATGGCTGAATCACTGTGTTTGACACGATAAATATGCTAACAATAACAATATAGACATATTGCAGAAAGCTCTATTCCTTCTGTAATTAAAAATTACATCGACCAATGATATGATAAGATTAATTCGATTGAACAGATTAAAGGAATTAAGGGGGACATTCTGGGATAAATTAGAATGGTATGTTACAGGTATATTATTAAATCAGTGGTGGTCGCAAATCCTAGACAATATAGTAATGGCAATGACAATAATTTATGGCCTTGCTGTGCGATTAAAAGTTTTTAGTTTTATTTCTAAAACCTAACCTCCAAAAACCACAAAACGTCAAAATAAAACTTGTCTACACATGCGCGGAGACGTCACATGCAACTGTCAAAAAGTCTGAGACTTTCTTACAGTCTGACAGATGTTTGGCAGTTGACGTTACGTGAATAATTTACGTAATTAGTTAATATAAATCAAACATGTGATAACCAATAATTTATTCATTAAAATGATTTATAACATATTATCCATTAACAGGCGTATGCACACCAAATAATTCATTTATATAGTTATATAACTAATATTTATAATGTCTACGATAGCACAACATATTGTTAAAGATTCATAATCAGGTTTACAACACCCGCACAAATTACTAGTAAACAACTACTAGGTATCTCAGCACAGCGATCGATTCAAAAATGATTTTTCAAATAATGTCACAAATAGAACCCCTCTAGATGTTCTACAAGGGAAGTCGATAGTAATGAATTAGCTCATGATGAATATCAATTTAAAGTGGCTCAAGCTTTACAAGCTTGCACCACGAAATCGAACGTATCGAACCAAAGGCCAATGTATTTTCAAGATATTTCAAAAGAAAACATTGCAATCTCCAAAGGGTTTATATATTCACGGTGCGTAGGCGGTGGGAAAACATGCTGATGGACATATTTTTGAATGTGTAAGGTAAGTTTGTTCATAACAGTGAAACACATACATTCTTTCTTCTCGATAACCCTTAATTTCACAAATTATGTATTAATTTATCAAATAATTTATAAAAATTGATAAGCATCCCAACCTTTAATAATGACCATTTATATTTTTGCAGTCCTATAACCAATCATGAATATCACAATATTTTCTATAGGTATCTATTTTTCTAAAAGATGAATTTGTTTACAGACAGAGAAGAAAACGTAGGGTACACTTTCATTCATTTATGTTAGATGTGCATAAACATATACACGAATTGAAATCACAAATATCAAGAGATTCAAGTAGCAGAAAACCACAACCTTTTGATGCAATAGCTCCAGTTGCTAAAACAATTAGTGATCAGTCGTGGCTGATTTGTTTTGATGAATTTCAAGTAAGTCTACTACTATTAGTTATTTATAATGTTGATTTTATGATATTATAACATTTACAGGTTACAGATATAGCAGATGCTATGATTCTGAAGACTTTGTTCACAAAACTTTTCCAAAATGGCATTGTGATGGTTGCAACCAGTAATCGGCCACCAGATGATTTATATAAAATGGCTTACAAAGAGGAAATTTCTTGCCATTTATACCCATTTTGAAAAATTACTGTAATGTTATATCATTGGATTCTGGAGTGGATTACAGAACAAAAGGTTTAGGGGGTAAATCTGAATGTTATTTATGTAAGCGGTAGTATCAATTTATATAGTTTTTTCAATGATAATTTACAATGAATTTATCATTTTAGAAAAGGAACATGGAAGAATCTGATCCTATTGACAAAATTTTTAAATTGCTTTGTTCAATGGAAAATGAATAATAAGACCAAGGATAATCAATCATCAAGGTAGAAATGTAACTTTCAATAGAACATGTGGTCACGTGTTGGATAGTAACTTTCAAGAACTATGTGACAGAGTATGTGACAAATATAATAAATTGATTTGAAATACCTATAGCCTAAGGAATTTTTATGCAACAGCCCTGGGTGCAAGTGACTACTTAAGATTATCCCAAAACATTTCACACCATCATAATACGTGATGTACCCAACTCAATTAGAATAAAAATCTCAAGCTCGGAGCTTTATAAATCTTATCGACACACTATATGATAACAGAGTTCGAGTAAGTTATATGTAGATCTTAACATAAATAATTTATTTCAGTCTTAAATGAATTTTATAAAATATTTAATAGGTAGTGATATCAGCAGACGTGCCACATAATGAGTTATTTAGTAAAAAAGCATCACCTGAGGAAACATCCGATGAACATCGTCATTTAATGGATGATCTTGGAATTTCCAAAGAATCTGTAACATTCTTATATTTTTACCATATTTTTTTGATAAACTAACTTGAGATTTTTGCAGGAAAATGCTGGTGCCAGTATATTTACAGGTGATGAAGAGGTCTTTGCATTTGATAGAACAATTTCTCGCCTCTCACAAATGCAGTCAAGTGAATATTGGCAGATGTGGGAAAAGCACAGATAATTATCTAATACAGATAAATTAAAATTTATTAATATTATTGTTAATAAAAGTATTATAAAAGTGTTGATATTGTACTTACCTAGGTGATCAGAATACAATTATTGATAAATTATAATTGTTCCTTTTATACTTTCTTTCGTTCTTTTTCATACTATTATTATCTGTGTACTGTCATATAAAAACAAATGAATAAAATATAAATGCCGTTTATAAATTATCATTCTGATAAATATGGTTAAAGAGTAGTTATTCTATAAGATTACGATAAACAATATAAAAATACTAAGATCAAGATTTAAAACTACAATTATTTAATAAATTATATACAACTTTCCCTTATGGCAGGGGAGGATGTAACGATTTGCCTTCTAGGTAACGTACTAACACGTTGATTTTCTGGAAAATATGGAATCGCTTCTTTAATGACTCGCCCTAGGCTCCCAGTCTAAAAATTAGAATCGATTTGATTGCTTCATAATTTTATTATTTGGTATGATTTAAGATATCCTATTAAAGTTTTAATTTATGATGTTTGTTGGTGTTAGTATTAATTTCAGCAGCTTATCGACGCGAGGTAAATTTATGAAAAATTAATTATGAATAATTTATAATTCTTTGTAATAGATATATACAGAAGTTTTTATTGGTTTACCTGATTGTCTGTCATGCATCGAATTTCCATAATTAGATAAATTTCCACAACTATATCTAATGGAGCTTTTTTACAATCGAAATATGACTCGATGAGTTAGATAATAATACTGAATTGTTATAATCTAACAGAAAAAATCAATAAATACAAAATAAGTTTACATTTATAATAAAAAAAAATTGAGACTAACCTTCTTTATTTGGTATAAGATCAGGATCAGGGTCATCTATGCCTTCATCATAGACGGATGAATCAGAATTATCCTAAATATTGATGAAATATTTAATTAGCAAATTAATATTAATTAGCTTCATAATCTTTGCATGCAAGATATAGGTACTTATTAATTGTATCCGGAGTCTTCAAGTTTTGAATATTGGTTATTACCTGTATTCTTGATTTTTGTCGTTTTCCATTAGCAGTCGGTTTATCAGGCGAAACACGACAACAACGACGTCGAAGCAAATAGCAAATTCCGCAGCACAAAATTATGACTACAGATCCAGTAATTAATAATGCGAATAATAAAGGATCTATAGGAATTGATGTAAAGCTCGCAAATCCACCTAAAACATAAAGGACTTGAATATAAAACTTAAAAATCATTAAAATATATATTAATATAGGTGAGTATATAACATATGCACCTAAAATAAAATTATAAGAAATAATATTTTATTTTAATGGTATTTTGAAGAAGTTAATAATAACTTCGATGGTGGCAGTAAATGTGTAAAATAAATATCTAATAGCACAAATGACAAGAAAATTGATTTACTTATTACCTTTTCTAATGGGCCTTTCACTGTATATTAAATTTTTTAGAGTCACAGGGCTACTTCTTCCAAGATCGTTTTCTGCTAAAACAATTACTTGTACCTGAAATTTACATAGTACACAATAAATTAGACTATTTCATTAATACAAGAAAATACCTAATTTAAATTTTAAAAATTCAAATTGTGTAATTAACGATAATTTTTTTACCTCCATGGCTTCATTGTCAGCAGCAAATGAGTTAGTCATAAGTCCTGGTATTCGAAATACAGGTTCTAAATTAGCAGAAGAATTTACTAAAGTCGTAAATGAATCTAAGGCCAGAACAACCTGAGCTAAAAATCGCTGCTCTAAACCGCCATCGAAACCAGCTTTGCATTGCACAATTTCGCCATCGGCTTCAAGTGTACAGTTTAAGGGCGGACCAGGTGGACCTTAGATTATAATAAAATATTCAATTTAAATTATATTAAAATTCCTACATTGTTACTAAATTATTTTGTTACTCTTAGAAATGAATCATAAAAATATTGCTCAAGAATAAATAATCATATCAAATATATATAAATGCCTCTTCTTTATAATCTATATAGTAATAGGTTTGGTTCACAAACTATGCCATATTTTTAATCTAAATAATGTATTAAGTGGATTATTCTCTGTCAGAAGTATTTGATGAATACTAAAAGGGTATGGGCCATTGTCATAGAATTGGCCCACATCCTGGTATTAAAATAATAAATACGCCATTTTAAAGGTCTTTTGAAAAAGCCGATTATACAATTTTCAAATTTGTATCTCACCTTATGGCCGAAATATCATTGAAAATATGTGAAAGTGGTGCCGATTCTGTATGGCAAAGCGCCCATACCTTTAGCATATAAAAAGTTTATTTATATAATCACATCTCATATGAATTAGTTGTTAATTGAATGAATATAATTAGTTAGTAATATTCCTAACCTGGAGGTATAACTTGATACACACAAGGCCTTTTTGTTTCTTGTTTCTCCTGCCTCATTATGAGCCTTGCAAGCAAATTGTCCGTATCCTAAATCTGCGACGGGTTTATATGTCAATATACTAGTAGATCCTAAATTTATTTAATAGAACATCAGTTAAAATACTGATAGTAGAGTCGAATAGTAATATGTTCAGAATTTTCTATGTAACAAGAAACAAGATATATGCATGTTACGCAATAGATTTCTGTATTTAATATGGTTTATATAATAAGGCGTTATTCAGTGTTACCAGAAGAATTATAAATCGGCCAGGAACTTCACCCATATCTGCAAAAGTCCAACGAAAAGTAATATTCGACTTGGATGGGCTTCGACGGAACATTTTAAAGAAACGGGAATATTTTCAGGCGCTGCTATTTTATGGACAGAGGTGGATTTGCAAATAGGAGAATCTAAAAGCAAAAACAAAATATAATAAAATTTCAAGTAGTTTAAACGATTATTAATTAGAATATAATTATTATTATAAACAGTAAAAATGTATTTAATGCTTACATCGCACAATTATAGCAACTGACTTGCTTTGTGTTTGTCCCTCAGAATTGTGAGCAGTGCATCGTATTGCCCCGACGATGCACTACTAATATTGCTCAATATCAGGTCATTACCTTCCATAACTATACTTTTGTCATTGGATTGGATTTCTTTACTCTATATGAAATAGATAATAAGTATATCAATGAGTTTTAAGTTAAATGGAACTTATTTTCTTACATTGTGAAGCCAAGTTATTTTCCAAACGCTGGGATTAGCTTTGACACCACATTGTAGAACTGCTTCTTGTCCTTCTGCATATTCTCCAGAGATAGGCGCTCCCAAAATTTTTAATGTAACCACCGGAGCATCTAAGGTAATATAAAATCCAAGTTTTTTTATTCTTAGATTATAAAATATTATATTATAAATATAAAATATATTATATAAATGTTTCAATCAATTTTATATGCTTAAAATATTTAACTAAACCTAACTTACATTACTGATGGTTATTTTTTTATTTACGAATGTTAAGGTTGCTTTATTGTTTATACAGTATATATTGAGAGGTATTTCATTAACAAACAAGTGCCGAAAGATGTGAACTTTATTAATTATGGTTCAAAAATAAACAAACAGTAGTTTCATACAATAAACAAAACGCATCATAATATTTACAAATGTGGTATACCTATATGTGAAAAAATAACTAATTAACATAAGCACAAAACAAACAATAAGTACAATTAAATGCTTAAAATGTTGAAAATGTTGAAAGTTCAAATATTAAATAGTCACTCAAAAGTTTTTTAGTCTTGTTAAGCATCACAAATCTAAAATAAAATACGTAAAGGTACGTATAATCTGAATAATTTGTTAATAAATTATTTTAGATGAATCCATAGATTACAAAAGACATTTGTACGTCATATAAAATTTTGCATATATTATTCAAATTTATTCTATATTTATAAATGATATTGTGATAAACGGTATAATTATGTTCAAATTTGCTTAGATATTTAGATAATAGCTTCATATATGGTAATATATTGGATGAAAAATGATTATCCAGAATGATAAAAGTCTACTTCCATTTTTTAAATGACATAGTTGTTACTGATAGTACACATCTAAATAAATTAAAAAAACGACAAATAATTTATGTAGCATCATAAATAATTTTACTGCAAATTGTTTTATCTACAATCTTAAAAATTTAATACACGATAAGTGAGTAAAACTTTCATGATTAGTGCATAATATGCAGAGATAAATATTTAATCATTTATAGATTTTGCAAATTTAGCAAAAAAATATTAACTACTTTTTCGTTCATTGGTGTTAACAAATTCAATCTCCAATTAACCTGATTAACAACAACATGACCTGATTAACATGATTTCTTTGGTCAAAACACGTATACTACAAATTTACATATTGAATCGTTTTTATATAAATTAATTGCAACTCTCGTAATACGAATTCTTGATTGAGTCTTTGCGAAAATACTATCATTTTATCAGATCAGAATCAAATTTATTTATCTCAATATATTCAAGAATTGAAATCAATTATAAAAAATGCAGGGTATAATAGTCATGTAGGACGAAATAAAATCTACATAACCGCGTTTTAAATAATTTTTAAATTTATTCTAATAAAAGTTCAGAATTCTCCAATTTTATGACTTTGTAAAATTTCACGTCCAAATATAATATAATACATAGGGACATTATTACGTTTATAGATTTTTAAATATTTTGTACAAAATTGCAAAGTTAGTATCTAATTAGTGGATAATTATAAATTGATATTCATATTTTAATAACGTTAAAATAATAAAAAAAATATTAGTATTAATCACTTCTAGTTTTACTACTAAATAGGTTAAATTCATTTGATACAATCTACCTAGAATGAAATATGAAATAAATAGTTAATTATGTCATTAATACATAGACTGACATTTATTACAAGTTTATCGTGAAGATTAAATGCGTAGAGTATGTTTATTAATTAGTTAACATATCACGTAATGTGTTTTTTATACTAATATCGGCATTCGTAAAAGCAGTAAGTTGTTTCTATTGGAATATTATCACTTGGATCGATCTTGATCAAATTTTTAATTAGGAGAATTATTAATGTATCTGTCATAGCAAGAACCAAAAAATATGTTAGTACCAAATGAGTTATGTTTGGTTGTAGAACATTTTAATCTAGTATTTTTCTCGAGAGGGCAACCCGGGGTCAACCATACTTATAATCGCTATATGTATGACATACGCTTGTTTTGTATGCAGACAAATGGCAATTTTCACTTGGATTTATATTTAAGATCAGTAAGACCAAAGAAAAATTAAATAAAATACTGCTTAAAATCGAGCCGGTCAAGATTGGGTTCTAACCCAAAACTAGTTTGGCCTAATAGCGTTTTTAACCAGAACATGAAAACAGGCTCTTGTAATGGATTATATCGGCACGTTGCCGAGCGTATAGAAATTTAATTAGTAATAATCTTCTATATATATAAAATAAGTCGGGTTTTCTTCCTGACAAAATAACTTCAGAACGCACGAACCGATTTCGACAATTTTGCATTCTTTGGAAAGGTCTCGGGCTCCGCAAGGTTTATAGCTAAGAAAATTAGCGGTGCATGACATCGTGCCCTAATGCAAATTGCTGGAACTTCACGCACCGTAATTAAAAATTCGAGTATAAAAAATAATCAACAATTGTTTTAAATAATTGCAAATAGATTTTTCTTCTATATATATAAAAATAAGTCGGGTCTTCCTAACTTGATCAGATGTTTTTAAAGCTTTTCTCTATATAAGCTAATTGAAACAAAATATATATATGCTAACAATATTATATTATGATAGTTAATGATATTCAGAATAGGTCTGTATCTTTATGTAAAAATCAATCGTAGTATTTGCAAATAGCAAATTTTCAAATTAAAAAAAATTTTAAGTCGGGTCTTCTTCTGATCAAATTTTTCCTTTTCAAAATAAAACAAACAAAAAAATTATTCATCTTCTCACGAAACCATCTGGTGGCGAAACGGATTTCGTCGGGTTTGCTAGTTTATTTATAAAATGCACTTTGTTAATTAAAAATAGCGCTAGCCCACGCTTTAAGCCTACTTTTTAATTTACATTATCAAATAAAGCCATTTCACAACATGTACATAATTTTACCTCAATTATTCGCTTACATATTTTAATTTCCTTCTCTATTTATTTGTGAAATGCCGTGAATAAATTAGCAATAAAAGAGTTGCGCGTCCGTATTTCGTTTTGCAGATGACCCGACATGTTGTTTCACACCGAATTTATAATTAATATTGTAAAATATTTTTGACAACCTTGACTCAAATCTTAATGGGCAGTCGTCTACAGGAGGATCGATGTCAAATTCCAGATGGAATTAGTGGACAAATTGACAGAGGAGAAGATATTCCATGATAAAGGTGATAATTGTATCCAAAAGTGCAAAATAAAAGAAGCAACCGAAAAAATGGTCTCAAAAACTGTGCTGTTAATAATAGTTCAAACAAAATTTTAAATCATTTTTAAATTTTTATGATGCATTAATATGCAACATCCTATTTTCCACAGGAGCCAGGTAAATAATTATCCAATCATAGTAATATAGAAAAATGCATACTAAAGTTCAGAACACACAATCCTCCAGATTATATTTGTAATATTAATAATATATTCTATATATAATAGACATAAAAGTGTTGAAGTATATTATCCAATAATATCAATGTGGAAAACCCGACATTATACACTAAGATCCAGTACGAAAAATCTTATAAATATATTTATTAAATAAAATCTTCTAATATCGATTTGTTTTCAAATTTTAGCAGAACTTCATTCTAAAAATAATTCACAGTTTTTAAAACTATATGTTATATATTGATAGCTCTTTTACAACCGTTCTATGCAAATTATCATATTGTAAATGACTAATTCCAATACCATAAAATTTTCTTTTATACATTTTTACTGCTAGTGGCCTGGAATTCCACTAACATTTTATTTTATATACGCTGATGTTAGATTTATCACTTACGTTAAATTTTTTAGCATCTCCGATATTGATGACATTAAAATAAATGAGAGGAATTGGAAGAATCGAATAATAAAATGCAGATAAAAATATGTTATGTGTTATAAATCACTACTAGTAAAAATATATGACCTGAAGTCACGACTGGTCTAATTGATTAATCTTAAATGCATCATTATAGAGTATTGGAAATGATTATTCAAATCACATAAAATAAAGTGTTATGTTTCAACCAAAGCAAAAAAAATCGAAGATAAAAAGCAAAATTAATAATGTATTGTTTTAAGATTTTTTATATCAAATGTAGACCATAAAATATATAATATTGCTGTTTACCACAAATTTATTTAAGAACAGAGGATGATCGTGATCGTGAGTAAAATTAATATCGATCAATAAAGAAAATATGGGGAAGAAATATTAAATATCAATTTTACAAATACTTACATAACACATTAGAAGCCATTATCTTCCAGTGTACTATCTGGTACAGCAGGATTATTTGCACGACATGTTAAATATTTCCATCGTCTTCCATGGTTGGAACGAAGTGCAGAATTCCTAATGTGTCGTATTCATTCTGAAAGCAAATTTAGAAAAAGTTGATTGCAAATATCATGTAGTAGAGAAAATAAATGTTAAAAATTTAGTTTTTCTTTTACCTGTTCACCAATTAATTCCTTTCCTGATCTTCCACCATGAGATAATTGCTGGTGGATTCGAACCAGTGGCTTCGCATTCTATGTTCCAGTTACGCCCAGCAGACAATCTTGTTTCTTATTTAAAATGTGCACTGAAATCGGACGTACTGAAAATATAATGAGTTTCTTAAATTTTTTGAAGATAATATATTGTTATGAAATTTTAAATTCTATTCGATTGCGTAATAAAAGTAAAAAATCTGTTCACACACACACACATACACATACTTTTTCCAAATTGGTATCATTCGATTCAGAATGGCTTGAAACGTCGAGAAAACATAAAAGTAGCGATCGGATTTTTGATGAAAACATAAACCTCTCCTTCGAGAAGTTAAAAATCATTCGGATTAGAAGTAAAGTTCATTGAGTTGAATACTGTTATTAATATTTTTCATAGTGTTTCAATTTAATTAAATAATTTTTGAAATCAAACCATATCGTGATAGAATTATTGTATTCTAATTGCATATTCATAAAATTATACTAAAACAAAAAATATTATTTTAAATATTTCATACTTGAAATGTTTGTTAATTATAATTATAATCAACACTTTAAGTAATGCATTACATATGATATTCAATTAAATATTTTACATATTTTTACATCGTAATGTTCACTAGATTCACTCAGAAAATCAAATATGAAATATTTGTCTATGCAGATATAATAAAAATGGAAAAAAGTACAAAGCGTAAATGCCAGAAATTGTATTAACTAGCTGTAAGTGGAATTCTGTGTTAAGGCAATTAAGGCATCGTGCCTTAAGGCAAATTGCTGGAACTTCCCGTACCAAAAATTATTAATTTTTTAAAAACGATTAACATTTTTGAAAAAATGTACCTTGAAAAAATAATATTTTTGAGAAACTATATATATGGACAAAAAATTACTTTTTGAAAAAAAAAATTTTTTTTAAAAAAAATATTTTTTTTTCATTTTTTTTTTTTGAAAAAAAAATTTTTTTTCTTTATTTTGACATATTGGGGGAAGATCTGAACTTTTTTCAAAGCATCGTACTGATTAACGGCTAGGGACAAAATATAAAGCGCGTAAGCGCCGCGTCGCTGTCTAACGCATAAGCATTGGTACGGAACCCATAGGAATGTTAACAAAATGTATTCTTGTTAAAATCTCTATAAAATATCTGATCATTTGATGTGCATATGTTTAATGATCATTTTTGACCGCCAAATGGCTAATTTTTTTACTTTTTTCCTCCATATCTCCGAAACCGCTAGACCTACCTATATGAAAATTTTATCGATTCTTCATTGTCAATACAAGTGAAATGTTTTTTGAATTATTTAAATCGGACGCTCCGTTCTCTTAAAAACTGAGTTACCGTTTTTGGCCACTTTTTGCCCCGTATCTTCGGAACGGCTAGACCTGCCTTCGCCAAAAACTAATCAGCACGTCTCCTTATCAATACAAATCGAATGTTTTTTGAATTATTCAAATCGGTTGATCCGTGTTTCCGAAATCGTCGACGAAAATTGTATCCGCACATACATACACACACATACATACATACACACACACACACACACACACATACATACATTTTTTCTAAGGTATGCCAAAATGTTCAGAAACCTTTGAAACGTAAAGATATATAAAATTTTCATTTTCGATTTTTTTGCGATTACTATAACTTGCCCTACGGGAAGTTAATAAACTGTAATAAACCTGATGCTATTGATTACGGCGTTATTTATCTACAAAATTAATTTGCCATTTTGTATATGTATATCGCAAAAGTATTTTCAAAAAATAACAAATCTCTATGCAATTCATTTCATGATAGTATTCGACTATGACAATCAAATGAAATAAATCGCTTCAATTCGATTTAATAGTAATTTAACATTTTACAAGACATTTCTTTTAGTAACCTACTTTCAATAATTGATATAATTTTAATAAAAATAATTTTATTATATTTACACTGTATATCCAATACGATTGCCGTCGTAGCAGCCTGCACAAGATCCGTATTGGCCGCTTGGCACACCAGCCTGGCGTGTTGCTGCTGTCTGCCCACACCAGGCAGCAGCAGACGGTTGATTGATCCTCCACCAACGGCCGCCGGCCTGGGTAACCAGGATTCGTCCAGAAGTGTGGATTCCATAAACCAAGACAAGCGGGGCGTCGGACGACCTGGCTGAGCAGAATTCGGTTTAGAAAAAGTAATTAATAATTAAGAACTTACAAGGATATTGATATAATTAATAGTTATCCCCTTGGTGCTTATTGAAGACATTCATAAGTGGTTTCAAATTAATTTTGTAATTTTTGATCAAGATAAATGTCCATTGATAAAAACAAGTCATATATGGCAAAGTTCCAGAAAGCCATGTAAATTATAATGGTCAGTCAACGTGGGAGCGAAAGAACAAATAGATATGACCTAATGATGGTTTGTATCTAAAAGATTTGTTATATGATAATTGACTGTGGGAATCTATAATGTAACAGTTGTTTTGTTCATAAAAATATTTGTTATCATAAGCATAATTTGTTGAGTAAAAACTTATCAAAATAAACATTTATTTTATTCATTAATCATATGCGACCATTAGGTAAATTTTGATATTTGAGCGATAAAATAAATTTATGATTGTCTATAGCAATCTTATGAGGCAATACTAAAAGCATCATTTTAAAAAATGTGAGAAATTATTCTTCATGTGGGACATTATTTTTTATAGATATACAAAATTATCACTAGTATTTAATGGTGTAGTTTAAAACTCCAGTATTCTATATAATAAATAAATTATTATGTAATTTGAAATAACTTACCGCCATCAACTTCGCAAATAAGAACTACGTCACTGCCTTCAACATAAGGAGCCACGACGCTACTGCGATTATTATTTCGCCCATCATAAATACGAGGTCTTCCTGGGGGTACTGCAAAAATATACCAAAATAACAAAGTATATAGAAAATAGCAATGAATTTCATACAAATAGTACAATAATAGGTTGTCAAATATCTCCCATCCGCCTTTTTGTATTATATACCAAGAGCAAAAAAGCGGAAGGGAGATATTTGACAACCTAATACATTGAATATAATTAAAAATATCCATTAAAAATTTATGCGCATTGCTATATTCTTTGCCTATGTTTGAGATGAATCGTTTCAATATTGATCATCACTAAGGTACTATACATATAGATCTACTATATATAGAATAATTATAAAATTTGGATGGAAAAATTAAGAAACACACACGTATCAATAAATTAGAAGACATCCATTACATGTCGTAACATAGATAAACATGTTAATTATTTCTATTTCAGAGCATTTTCTATCAAACCGGTTACGGTAAGTCTCCATTAACACATCGCAACGTCAACATTTATTCCATTTAAAAATTTAAAGAATTATATGTCACTTATATACAGCAATGAATTTAATACATCTCAATCAACCAATTTCCATCGTAGAATAAAGACAATGGAAATTGTGACTGTGGATATTTCTATTAAAGGAATTTCAATTCTGTAACGCAGGATGACTGGTCGTTTATCCGCCTCACCGAATTGTTTTACAAGTAATTGCGTTCGGCAGAAGGAATTGATTATAGATCGAATTGAATATAAAAACATCATGAACATTACAAATGAGGTGTGCTTAAGCGTGAAGTAACGCATTATCTTCAATATCCGCCGATGAAATGCAGTATTTGAAAAAAATAAAGATTAGTAAAAAATAGTACTTAAACAAAATAAATGAAAAAATATTTTATTATCTATGCAATGTCACGCATCGACTTGATTGTAGGTGGTATTTTTTTGTTTAACGCACGATTTCAATGAATTGAGTGTGGAGAATAAATCTAATTAATAGTTGTTTTTGTGAAGTATATATTTAGACATATAAAAAACTAATGCTGAAAAAATAGTCACAAAAAGTAGAAATTTTGAAAATGAACTACAAGGTCTATATGGCTATCATGGAACCTATACATTTGCATTGCAAGAATTCCAAATGAATAATTTGTTTCATTATCATAAGACTATAATATTTATAATGATTATCACTTTTCAATGAAATCATTAACTAAAGTCTACTGCATATACACTGTGCTAAGGTAAATCCAAATATATTTATTTTTTTTTACTAGCATTCAAGATTTTTTTATACTTCTATTATAGTTGATTTTTTTATACTAATCTTTGGACAACAACTTTAAAAAACGTTAAAAAATTAATTTAGATTTTTAAAACACCAATCAGATACACGACGAGATAGTAAGGATGAGTGCAAATCGACCCTTACGATAAATAATGAAAGATTGAATAAAAAAATCCAACATAAAGTACGAGTATTATGTTTAAAAATAAACGCAATATTTTTCTGTTTCTTGGCAATAGACAGACTTGCTCAATAAATAAATCCGATGAAATCCTCAAATCAAAGAGAAAATTTTCACAGTGTAACTTTTTAGTTTAACAACCCTAAAAGATTTTTTTTATATTCAGTATGTTGGTTTAACAAAATAAAAGATATTGAATAAATTATAGAAATTTTTCTCTAGTTTAATTTTGTATATAGCTACTTTGCTTTTGAAGAATTAAAAAATCATCAAAAAACAGAAAAACATTTGAATTATTTTATTTCTAGATCTTATTCGCTTAATTTAACATTGAGAATATTTATATATTAGAGAGAATGTGGTCAAGTGCTGTCATATATGGAGAGATTTGTGATACTACGTCGAGAACAGCAAAGACTTTGAGGCGGCCGTACTCTCAAACTATCAATTTTACAAAAAAAAACGGGTTTCTAAAGAATTGTAGGAAATTTTATCTAGTTTAATTCGTACATAGATACTTTTATCGTGGAATGAGCCAGAAAGGCGATATTTTAAAAAAGCTGTTTTTTGACGCCATTTTTCCAATATGGCGGCAACTTGCGGGTCAAATTTGAGGTGGCAAAGTTGATTTTTGTAAAGAGCACCTCGAAACCTATAAGATTACCGATTTTCAGAATTCCCGGAGTACTGTACCGGCAACAGCCCTTTTTGCACCAAACGATTGGACTAAAAATGAATAAGTAAAATGTTTTGAAACTTAAATATTATTATTGCACAAAAAAACTTGAGAATTTAAAAATATTTTTTCAAGTCACATACTGGAATTACTGAAATGTATGGATTTTTGAAAAAAAATATTAACATATTTTTGTATTATTGGGATATCTTCCGCTCAATCATTACGCTGCCTACATTCATTCAAAACATAACTGTATCCAATTAATTTCTGTTTCTACAAAGTAGCTAACATTTCCAACACAATTATACATATATCTTCAATCTATTTACAGCAATCTTACATAACTTTCATTAAATTGCACTCACCGACAACTGTGAGATTGACGAGAGAATGCCTGGTGGGCGAATCGCGAAAATCTACCCGACACCGGTACATCGCCTCGTCCCGGACTCTTGCCCCGTCCAGGAGCAGTGCAGCCGGCTTGGACGCGGTGCGAAAGAACGCTCTGCCTTCCATCAGGTCAGGAGAAGCCCAACGTCGGCCTGCGTCCAGGCGTACACGACGAGCATCCAGGCTGGGATAAAGGAATAGAGAAGACAAATGTAGTAATGTTGAATTTGATTTGATTTTAATTTATCTTGCTTTAATTTATTTATGCCAAAATGTTCAGAAGGTTTTAAAACGTAAAGATACGAGGTCTGTTCAAAAAGTACCCGGAATTTTCGTTTTTTCAAAAAAATATTTATTTATTCGTCTACATTAATGTGGTCCCCTTCAAAGTAGTCCCCCCCAGATATAATACACTTATGCCAGCGTTTTTTTCAATTTTCGAAGCACCCTTGATATTCACTTTTTGATATGTCCTTGAGCACTCTCAGCGATTTTCTTCAATCGAGGAAAACCGCCGTCCTTTCATGGGTCTCTTCAACTTTGGGAATAGGAAAAAGTCACACGGAGCCATATCTGGTGAATTTTTGCACTTTGCAACACTTTATTTCATTTTTTACGCAAAATTTAATACAAATTCTTTGACTTTTCAATTCTTCCATTGTAAAAATCGCCGAGCTCAGAAAAACACGTCGAACCTTAGCGACTACCACAGACAAAGTAAACAGTGAATATAGCTGAAAATTTCATCATACTTTAGGGGCATGTATACCAACACAATTTTGACAATCAGACACTCCAGACCCGCGAAATTTAATTATTAGTAATTCTGGGTACTTTTTGAACACACCTCGTATATAAAAATTTTCATTTTAGATTTTTTTGCGACTACTTGCCCTACGGGAAGTTAAAAATAAGATCACATTCATCAAACTTATTTCAATAAATTCAAAAATATGATATTTTATAGTACAACTAGTATTTACAATTAAAAATATAAGGTTGTCAAATATCTCCCTTCCGCCCTTTTGTATTATAAACCAAGAGCAAAAAAGCGGAAGGGAGATATTTGACAACCTAATATATTATAAAAATCAACCTAACATGAATATAAAAATCATGCAAAAAGCCAAGTTTTATCTTAATGTCTGCTTCATCATCATTTATCAAAAACATACTTTTTATTCGCTTATTTAACATTTCACAGTATAATTAAAACAAGTCGTTGAAGTACATTAAATTGCGTAAGCCTATGAATTATATCGTCTCTAGTAATTATGAATATTCGGCCGTGAAACATCTTATCCAAAATTTATAATTATGATTGTTCATTAGTTTACGCAAGTCGTTAAAAACTGACATCCGATGAATAAAGAGCAAAAATTCTTAATCTTATTACATGTAACACGATCTGTTAGAAACTTATTAATATATCATCAATCTTTCTGGTTGGAATAATTTAAATGTGTTAAAGTGATCGAGAATTGCTTTTAAATCTCCTAAGGCAAGTTTTTTTTTAAAAGGTCGAGAGGTTAATACGATAATTGCGAACATATATTATTTTTAATGAATGTATTTATACCATTATAACTATTTCTTGTAAAGGAAGATTTAAAAATGTGTTCAATAATTTGATTTAATATTTTCTATATAATTATTTGATTTTAAGATTTTTTTAAATTGCTATTGCTACATCTTATTATTAGTACTAACATATTGTAGCATATAACATTTAGAATGCTTTTCTTATAAATATAGGGTAATGATACATTATAATAAATAACTCGAAATAATATAATACAAATATTTTCTTACGCAGTTGCAATTATAATAATGATACATAATTATTCTACTTATAAATATAATATAAAATATGTAAAAGTTTTTGCAAATTAGATCAAAACTTGTTTCTCACACGCCTTGAATTAAAAAAAACGCATCTTTCATTATTGCATGCATATTTAATATCATTTCATATTCAAATGAAAAAATACATAGATATATTCCAATCTTAAAATACCAGTTGTAAAGTTTGCAAAATATATTGAATATATTCTTAACATGATAAATATATTCTTAGCTTGATAATAATTAGCACGTTTCTACATGCATTAATATGCTCATTAATTGTCAACGTTAGTTTTGATTAATGCTTTACAATTACTTAATATTCCCATAGTATTTAAATCCTAGTAACATTTATTACATTACATCATAAGAAGAGACACCTGTATCCAAAGTATTTTTTACAATCCTTACAGTATTTATGATGAATAATTATTAAGTGGAAATAGAAAAAATAATCACTTGATTGTGTGACTAATCGTGTATGACTAATACTAGTATTCGATATCCTAATTGCGGATGTATTAATAATTTTTTGTAGAGATATCATTGTAAAGTATTATTGATTTGAAATTAATATCGCTTGGGTAAATAAATATAATTATACTAATTTAATTGATAGTTGTCTGTAGAAACTATTTGGAAATATAATTAGGTACAAATATAAGTAGGTAAAATAGAATCAATACAATACGAATAGATTAGAATTGAAATTGAATTATATATTTGATACACTTGATTATAATCGATAATTTTTTTTAACATACTTAACTCTTAACCTTTATAGAATTTAGTTTCAAAATACATAAATGTAATGCTAAATTAAAATCGACAACAACTGCTTTTGCCATGCGCCCAACTAGTTTTAAATATTAATTTTGGTACTCATTAAAGGTATGTTGAGTTTAATAATAATACCAACTGAAACCAATGTGAATTTGTATGTAAAAGACATAGTTGATTCTAAATTTAGTACCCAGAATGAAACTGATATAATCATGAAATAATTAAAAAATGATCAGGATACCTAAATATTAATAAAAATTATCGAAAAATATTTACATGCCATTTCGATTGAATAAAATTAATCAATCATACCTATAAAGAGGCTGCTGACTTGGTTCCAGAAACCATAACACCATGAGGACAACATCGCCTTCAACTGGTGGTGTCACATCACAAGGAAGAGCAACCTTTCGCCCGAATACTCCTTGAACCTGGGTCACCGGCACTGAATAAAAAATAATTTAAAATCAATAAGATTTAATAATTAATAATATCAAATATTTATTTCAAATTTATTTTTTTCTCTAAATGAATTGGTTACAGCACTTAATTTGGTTTTAATGGAGATCAATTATTTGAAAAAGATCTTTGCTTGCTTTTGTATATTTATGCATTTATTTATGTATGCATAGAGCATTAAATACAATATACTGGATTTACTTGGAAATACAATATTTTATCATTCGCCTGTTTTTGCTATTCTGAAGCAGAATCTTAACCTCAGAACTTATAAAACGAGTTAATAAAATGAAAAACCACCGATTATCTCTCGAACATATCGCAAGCATACTTATATGAAATTATCACGCATTTAATCAGCAGAACTACCTGCCAAAAACTAAATTGAAACTTTTCGTTTAAATTAATTACTTATAATTATATTGCAAAAAGATGTAATAAAAAGATTTTAATTTAAAGATTGTGGATGAATTTGATTGAAAATTTGATCTTTCACTTGTATCAAGTACAGTATCATTCATATTTAAGTTTTGTAATTATTAAATTATTCAACAGATAAAATATAAATTTATTTAAAATTGTACAGTTTCTCGAACCAAATGTGTTTCATCCTACAAACCAATTTTTTTTACCAACAACGGAATACAAATCGAATCGAACAAATGTTTTAAAAAATAGAAACAAACTTATATTAAATTATACAAATTTAGGTTATAAAAGCAATAAGTTTAATAATTCGAAAACAGATAAGCCTCACAGAAATTCACTCACAAGTTTTGGTAGCATTTTTAGTTGCTTTACTAATTAAACTAGCTGTAAGTGGAATTCTGTCTTAAGGCAATTAAGGCATCGTGCCTTAAGGCAAATTGCTGGAACTTCCCGTACCAAAAATTATTATTTTTTTAAAAACGATTGACATTTTTTAAAAAAAATTACTTCGAAAAAATACGATTTTTAAGAAACTATAAATTGGACAAAACATTACTTTTTTTTTGAAAAAAAATTTTTTTTAAAAAAAATTTTTTTTTAATTTTTTTTTTGTTTTTTTTTTGAAAAAATTTTTTTTTTTATTTTGACATATTGTGGAAGATCTGAACTTTCTTTTCAAAGCAATCGTACTGCTTTAACTGCATAGGGGCAAAATATAAAGCGCGTAAGCGCCGCGTCGCTGTCTAACGCATAAGCATTGGTACGGAACCCATAGGAATGTTAACAAAATGTATACTTATTGTTAAAATCTCTATAAAATATCTGATCATTTGATGAGCATATGTCTAATGATCATTTTTGACCGCCAAATGGCTTATTTTTTTACTTTTTCCTCCATATCTCCGAAACCGCTAGAGCTACCTTCATGAAAATTTTATCGATTCTTAACCTTGTCAATACAAGTGAAATGTTTTTTGAATTATTCAAATCGGACGCTCCGTTCTCTCAAAAACTGAGTTACCGTTTTCGGCACTTTTTGCCCCGTATCTTTGGAACGGCTAGACCTGCCTTCGCCAAAAACTAATCAGCACGTCTCCTTATCAATACGAATCGAATGTTTTTTGAATTATTCAAATCGGTTGACCCGTGTTCCCGAAATCGTCGACGAAAATTTGTATCCGCACATACATACACACACATACATACATACAGTCGAGGAAAATCCATGGGGAAGACCTTATAAGACTGTAATGTCTCGCCTCAAAAGCCAGCCAATACCTTCACCAACTTGCCCACGACTATTGAATAAAATAGTAACTACTTTGTTTCCACGACAACCTAATTTGAACTACCAGGTAACACATGTAGAACAGAATAATATTCCACTTATAACACTGCAAGAACTGATGGAAGCTTGTCATCGCGTTGGTAATAGCAAGGCACCGGGATTAGATGGAATTCCTAATATTGCCTTGAAAACATCAATTATGACATCTCCGACAATGTTTCTTAATGCATATAATACATGCCTGAAAGAAGGGGTTTTTCCACGAAAATGGAAACAGCAAAGACTAGTGCTTATTCCCAAAGGAAAAAAACCACCAGATGAACCATCATCCTATCGTCCAATATGCATGCTGGATACAGCGGGTAAAATTTTTGAAAGAATAATTCACCAAAGAATAGATGCAGTAGTTGATCCAATCCTAGCAGACAATCAGTATGGTTTTCGCAAAGGGCGATCAACTATCGATGCTATAAACTTGGTAGTTAATACCGCCAAGGAGGCAATTGCTGGAACCAGATGGAAGGGGGTTCCAAAAAGTACTGCCTTGTAGCTACATTGGATATAAAAAATGCTTTTAATTCTGCAAACTGGGATTGCATTATGAATGCACTCCGTGACAAGAACGTGCCAGCATACCTATGCAATATAGTCGCAAGCTACTTTACAGACAGAATTCTAATGTACCATTCACGCGATGGTACAGAAGAATATAATATAACAGGAGGTGTGCCGCAGGGCTCTGTTCTAGGCCCTTTGCTGTGGAATATTATGTATGATGGCCTTTTGAGACTAGAGTTTCCAGAATGTGTGAAACTAGTAGCATATGCAGACGATGTTGCCATAGTGGTTGTCTCCAAACAAATTGATGACATCGTAAGCCTATTCGATATTACATTCAGAAAAATTAATCGGTGGATGGGAACAATGAATCTCCAATTAGCACAACAAAAAAGTGAAGCTGTTCTTATCACTAGTAGGAAAAGAATTGAGACCATCAAGCTAAAGATAGGAAATCTTGAGATCACGTCAAAACCTCACATCTGTTACCTTGGCGTAATGCTTGATGCTCGTTTGAATTTCAATCAACAGGTGGAACACGTTAGTGCTAAGGCGTCAATAGTTAGGACGAAACTTGCTCGACTGATGCCTAATATTGGAGGTCCTAAACAAACCAGAAGGATATTACTATCGTCAGTTATTACTTCAGTGCTGACATATGGTATCTCCATATGGGGTGATGCTCTTAAATCTCAAAAATCGAGGAGAATGGCAGGGCCCTTATACCGTCTCAGTGCTATAAGAATTGCTTGCGCATTTCGCACAATATCGGCGGAAGCAGTGTGCGTCATTTCAGGAACTGTGCCTCTCTTAGTCTTAGCAGAGGAAAGACGGACAATTTACCATAGAAGACATCAACAACTGTGTACTGAAAAGTTAAGATTAGAAGAACGGCAGAACAGCATTGACCGATGGCAGCGACTGTGGGATGTCGCTGTAAAGGGCAGATGGACGCATCGTCTCATTCCTAACATCAAAGTCTGGCTAAGTCGCAAGCACGGCGAAGTAAACTATTATACTACGCAAATGCTATCGGGGCATGGCTGTTTTCGAGCCTACCTACACCGATTCAAGCACGATAGCTCGCCGGATTGCCCATATTGTTTGGGCGAAATCGAAGATGCTGAGCACGTGTTCTTCGTGTGCCCGCGATTTGGTGCTCTACGGGATGATGTGGAGGAGACATTGAGACGCACAATTACCCCAGGTAATGTTGTTGAAGTGATGCTGACAAGTGAAGCTGCTTGGAACGCCATAGACAGATTTGCGAGAGACGTTTTAATGGACCTGCGTTCTATAGAGAGAGAAAGGGCGAATGGGACTTCGCCCATTTAAAAGATAAGTAAAATGTTTATGATTTATAACATTGTTTATAACAAGTTAAGAATTGTAACATTCTAGATCCTCCCCCCACGAAGTAATGCCTAGCGGCGGTTTCCGTGGGGACCAGAGGCAGGGGCAAAGCGGAGGTTTTAGTCGGTATTATACCAGGGCGGTATCGAGTCCGACATACCCAGACAGAAGACCGGTCTGGGATGCATAAAAGCATTTCCTTCGCTATACAAAAAAAAAAAAAAAAAAAAAAAAAAAAAAAAAAAAACATACATACATACACACACACACACACACACATACACACACACACACACCCCACACACATACATCCATTTTTTCTAAGGTATGCCAAAATGTTCAGAAACCTCTGAAACGTAAAGATATATAAAAATTTTCATTTTCGATTTTTTTGCGATTACTATAACTTACCCTACGGGAAGTTAATTAGAAGACTATTGTAAGATGTTATGAAATATGATTGAAAAGTGATATAAAAGAGATCAAAGTCTTAAAGTTTATAAACGCTAATAAAATGAATACAATTTTATACTAATATAAATTATTTTAAATATTAGCATGTTATAAAATCAGTAATCGTTTCTATTAGATGTAGTGTTTAAGGGGCGATTCCATTAATCATGAGATCGATTTTTCAAGGATTTTTATACCCCCCTCCCCCTTTGTGATACGTGATGATATTTGAAACTGACACCCCATCCCCCGCCAAACATTACGTGTATTTTTAGTTTCGAGAAAAAATTGTAATATTTGATTTTTTTTAAATGTTTGGATTTTTTTTTGAAAAATTCAGGTAAAAAATAAATACACGTGATATCTTACAATAACCCTCTTTCCTCCACGTATTATATCGTAATTTTTTGTCAAACCCCCCTCCCCCTAAAAACCCCACGTGATTAGATAGAACCATGATATTTTCTATTTTTGTGGTCAGCTTTATTGTTTTCCATTCCAATGTTTAACAATCTTCATTTCTTTCCTTTTCATTTTTATTCATTGTTAGTGTAATAAAATTATAATTGAAATTTATTCGATAATTGAAATATAGCTGAAGTCTTGTAAAAGGCATGATTTAGCTTAACTAAATTTATTTTGCGAACATAGTTTGTTATGTTCTAAGCCATGGTTAGCACCAACTAGTCCCGGGTTCGATCCTCGCCTACGCCGAGGTGGGCATCAGGCAGCATGATTTCAAATTACAGGGGTATAGATCTCGAATATGATCTCAAGTGCAAATGCCTTTGGAGATTTATCTAATGTACTATCCACATACAAATAGAATGGCTAACCACTGAGTTGCCTTCAATCAAAATACTATATTAAAGAATGATCAACAGAGGAAGCTTATAGAACACGTTGAGGTTCTGATTGCTCTTGAGAAATATATACAAAAAATATTATATATGTTCCTGTGGATCAATAATTCATCATTTACAAACAGCGTTAAAATAAATTTATTTTCCCAGTAACATTTATTTACTCATTGCCTTTATTATGACAAGTCATTGGTTTGATCCGCCTTCATGCAAATTTATTGAAATCGTCATAAATCATTGCGTGGTGGCCGCCGAAGATTGTGGGCGGATTAATTGTCATCTATTAAATTGTTATAACGGCAATAAATAATTTTGTTATTCAATAACATGTATAAAAAAATTGAATATTGCATGTTTATGCAAAACTGTTCATTAAAATCATATTGAGCAAACACAGAGACGAACAGTATAAATCATGAATTGAACATCATCAGTATCAAACATTTTTCGATTTTATAATTTCTACTACCCCTTCAGGTAAATGCACATAAATTTTATTTCATTTATTTCCCATCATCAAGTACGAATTTATTAACGATTCCGATAACATTTTAATAAACCGCAGTTACTAACTGAACATGTTTCGTAATAAAATCGTAAAAAGACCCAACACCACATATATATTTTCGCTCATTAAAACCAGTTACATAAATTTTAAATTGTTATCAAACCTCATATATTACTGTCGATAATTTAATATAAGCATTTTTATATTGCATGTAAAAAGAAAACCGCGCCGCCACGCCTAACGAACCTGGTTAGTGAAAAAGATTTAAAGTCTTGAAACTTAAATCGTTATGTTTTTTTATAATTATATGAAATACAATAGGATAATTTTTTATTATGCTAATTTTAAATAAACAATATACTAAGCTTAATGTCCATTTTCTACATTTTTTAATAAGCAATCCTTTTGCTCTTTTATAGCTAGATATAGCGAGTTAGGTCTATATGTAGAAAATTCAACAGTTCTAAATAATTGTATGAGTATTCATAATTTATAAAATTCTATAAAAATCATATCTATAAGGTTTAAAACTGTTAAAGGACAATTATCATATTTTCCACAAAATAGATATAAGTACCTGATATTCTGAATTATAATAGAGTTTTGTATAAGAACAAGATGATGGTATTTGCCAAGAAAAGTTGCAAAATATTATAGTAGAGTTATTGAATAATAAATATATATGAAGTAAATTAAATTTTAATAATATTAGAACTATTTTCAATAAATGTAATGCAATTTGAGTTTGTATATACATATATTTAAATATTCACTCCTATTTTCCATTTGATCTGCGGTTAGTCATAAATGCAAATTGAATTTTATATAACTAAGATAGTTATCATCCTTTGTTAAAAAGTATTATGTTTAATTCGATGAAGGTAAATTAAATTGAGTTTACGAAATTTAATGTAATTATTATTTTTAAAATAAAATAAATTAATAAAATAATACAAAATACATGAAAAATATCATAATTATCAACCGAGTACTAATAATAATTTTATATCCAGATTTAAATAAGAAAAATCTTGTAATCCAAAGTTGAATTATCATAACTAAAATATTTATAAATCTTCTTATAAAAAAAAATTATTTTTATTAAATTTATATCAATATTAATAAGGTTTTATTGTCAAAATAACTATGAAGTATGAAAATCTACAGCAATAAAATAAGATAAGACCTATTGGATATTGCAAATGGCAATAAAATAATCCTTAAATAGAATATGATGTCTAATAATTCTATTGAAATATAATGATGATTTAATAGTTTGGCACTTCATCATGTTGGAATATCCGGAATAAATTCAAAGAAACTATCTAATGTTAGCCAAATAAGATTAGCGATCAGTAAATTATTACTTACAACACTTTTTTATCCATATGTCAATACCATGATTTATGGATAATGATGTGGAAGTAATTCATTTTTTATAATATGACAATTGTCCATATATCTTAGATATGTAACACAGAAATATTTAGACAATTTGAATTTGATTTTGTGTATGTGTGTACGCTTCGAACAGGTGAGATCAAGTACGAATGAAAATTAAGACATCATTATAAAGACACATTTTATGTACAAGTTTATGACTTAAGTTTTACTGCAAAATATTCTCGTTTTAATTACAAGACAGAAGAAATTACATCCAAAACAACAATCATCAACGATATAAAATCAAATCGCACAAATCATGTGAATGACATTAATGTTCTCGACATTTCATCTTTATGATACGTTGGCGGAACGCAAGTACCTCTGAACTGAACATATATAAAATAATAGAAGAGTCGGAGAAATAAAATAAAATTAATAAAATTTTAAAA